GCACTTTTTGTGGAAGACACCTCGCCGTCGTCATTCGCACAGAAGGGTGTTACCAGCATTTCTGCCTCTCCATGTGCCTGAATATGAATTCGATTGAAATTGTTAAGCTCATAACTCTAAGTGATCAGTCAGTAATTACTACAATTTTGTAGAATCTTACAATAGAAGAAAAACAAGCGTAATTGCAATCACCCTTTGATGCACGAATAATCACATCATTTCTTAATTATGTTAAAACAGGCCAATAATTATAACTACCTTACCATAAACACAATATCAAGAAAATATTATCTAGCTTAATAAAAATGAAGCCACAGTCTGCCTATTTCCTGCAAATACAGGCCCTTGACTTTGCTTTAAATATTTTACGCTAAATTCTAGCTATGCAATGAACTTCAAAACCCTTTGAGCAGCTATTTTATAAAAGTTCACTCATTTCGTTGATTTAGCCGGTGTGTTTTAAACGAAAGCTACTAACAAGTCCTCTCAAAGTGGGAAGGTGACACGCATTATGCACTAAGTAGTCAAAAATATTATTATGGGGTCCGGTAGTAAACCTGAATTGCTAACTCTTTAAAGTAAATGAATGTTACAGTTTCACAAACATTTAGTGGCGTTTTTTACACCAATTAATGGCGGATAGGTGGAAGTTAAGTATCGAAGATTTGGATGAAAAAAACAGATGGTAAGTAAAGCAAAAATTTTTGGGAGTTGTGAAGCTGATAACAGAAACAAATAAGCTATTCTGGTTTAAGAATTTTGCCCCTTTTTTAAAGCAATTAACGAAACATTTTGCCCGAGTTTGCAAACCATCGGCTCTCCGGTTTTGTGTTAGTACCCTCGTTACTCAGTTTGGTACTCATTTGCTCATTTTACAATTGTCAACACATGATTGCAATATAAACTTAGCTGGGAAACATTTATCGATGAATAGCAAGTTGTTTGAAAATTATGAAGTGTGGAAGGGAAAATGGCATAAGTCAATGCAAATTCTAGTCGTCTTTCCTCCTCCGGATCTGAAATAAAAGAGATAGTGCCAAGTAATTGTAGTCAAAGGAAACGCATGAGGCCTCCTTTAATGTATGCTACTTTAATCTCTCCAAAATTAGTCAAGTAAGGCAACCATTTGAAAGGATCTGGCTAGAGGTGTACGAACGTAAACACTAAGGCCAAACAGAACTAGCGAACACAGGTTAAAATGATATGTAATCTAAGATGGAGCCACGGAGAGGGATACCTGAATATGTTGAAGCAGTTAGAGTCGTAGCATTGAAACCCTATTCATTTGCGTAAGTAGCAGCTTTGTCCGCGCTCAATGAAGTCTCCAATGGAACATGCGTCCACTCAACATCCTGGAATAACTCAGGGTAGTCGTCTTCAGAGTGCACTGGGGTATAGTTCTCCACAATCACTGTTTCATTTTGCGAACTCCATTTGTCCATTTCTTTAGGGATGGTGGAATTATTTGCGCCAGTAGAAGACATGCCCAAGGACTTAATCGATATTTCTTTATGGGAAAGATGCCAAATCTGCTGATAAGGTTGTAAAAGTTATGCATTAGCCATGTAATCCATAACAAAGTTTCCTAGTTTTTATCACAATCATTCAGGTAAAATTCACTATTTAAAATTTGAAGCAAATGAATACCATTATTAAACAAGGAAGTCAGTATTACGCAAAGGCTTGCGGAACATAACCTTTTAAAATAGGTCACCAAGTGATAGAATAGGAGCAACTTACGTTGACTAGTCCCGCTACGAACTAATGAGAATAAGCTATTTGGACACCCGTTAGAAAGGCAAACAAATTTCGGACGCGTGCGATATTAATAGCCAATGGGAAAACGCTCACAAGTTCTAGACTTTAAAGTGTTCAATACGCGCATGGGACACTGACTGAGAGTGATTCATTTCTTTCGCCGCGACGCTATTTTATCCTTTTCTAAATTAAATGCAGCAGCAATCAACAAGAGTTTGGGCAAAATTTTTAATGATGTGTTGTTTTAGCTAACATTCGTGGCCCTACATTTTTGACGGGGAAATTAAAATAACTCGTGAATGCAGTTGCATAAGATTTGTTAGAGATAAGAGCATAAGACACTCGAGTGCATGATTGGAAACCTTCGTACTTAGAGCACTGATACAACTCTGACTTTGCGTAGAAAACCAGTGGTAAGGTTAGGAAATACAAAGGCGTTTTCATTAAGGAAGTACACTACAGAGTCTAAAAGTGCGTTCTAGTGTAGGCATGGGAAGTTAGCCTGTTGTATGTGCAAATATCTGCAAGTCATATTAAGGCTTAACAAACGAAAGGGATCTCGACCAAATTATGCACACATGCAACAATTCAATCAATTACCCTTCAATGCAGACATTCACATCAGAATTCTCGTCATAAGTTTGCCAGTCGCATTTTTATCAGGAATGGTGCGATTTTTGCAAATAAAGCAGTTGGTAATAAATCCTTACATCAATTAGACAGTAACAAAGTTTCCTTGCAAATTTTTGCCTTACTGGACCGGTTCAGCAGCATTTAAATTTAAAAAAAATTATAAGATTTTCGAATGCAGTAGATGTTTGTCCCTCTGGATTAAGAGCAAGTTCAAAGTTCCTGTTTTATTTTTCTTCACGAGCCCTGATGCACAAAGCTGGTCTGTTCTTTAACATGTCACATTTTCAGAAATATTAATCTGCAAAATTACAGGCAAAGCCAGCTAAGATGTCTGAGTCC